CTAGTCAGCTTATTTTTCAAAGACTCTGGTCCAAAGACTATAACTTCTGTTTTGCCTGCATTCAGAAGGAGAAAGTTAAGAGTCATCCAGGTCATTATGTCTTCGAGACACACCTGTAATCTATGTAATGGGTTAGCTTCATGTGGATTTATAGATATAGCTGGGTATCATCAGCATAACAGTGGAAATGAATCCTATGCCTATGCTGCTCCGATTTGGAGCATAAATATAGTAAAGAGAATTGGTTCTAGCACTGATCCCTGTGGTACTCCACAGTGATCAGCAGAGTTTACAGTAGAGCCATTAGCTACGTTTACATGGACACAAATAATCGGATTGAAGGCCTGATCAGATCAAAAATGTTTCATGTAAACATGTCAGACTGAAGATTCTAATCCGATTCGGTCCGATCGGATCTAAATTTAATTCCGAATGAGAGAGGTGGTTTTTGCCGATCGCCATTCCGATTGGCGTCCATGTAAACACCCATTCGGATCTTAAGAGTAAATAATCTTCACTGCGCATGTGTGCGACGTCAGCGTGACGTTTTTCCGCCTTGTCAACAACAGGAAACCACCGGTCTCTCTCGCTCTTGTTGTGAACAACATGGCGGGGGGAGTCTAGGAACGCCGACTTATACACTCAAGTTCATTTAAAGCTGCAGGAAGCAGGAATTTATCCTCCTCCTCTTCCTCTTTTCTCTCTCCACAGCCCAAACGCTCTCCCACGCCGGTTCAATCGCTCATTCTCTACATTTTCTCTCGTACATTTCGCTGCCAAGCGCTTTTTTCCTCCTCTCTCCTTTTTTCTTTCCGCTCGCTCCGAGCTCATCGTTTGTCAGGCCTGCCAAAAACCAGACGCAGACAGAACTGCCAAGTTTGGCAGGAAGTTCTGCGCATGCTTAAAAGATTTAATCTGATCCAACGCTTGTTACATGTATACACACGTCATGATCGGATCATTTCATTTAGTGTCCATGTAAACGGAGATTTTGAATTTCCGATCAACCAAGGTTTGGATCGGATCGGGAAAATTTTGCTCATGTAAACGTAGCTATTGTCTCATATTTTTAATCTAAGTCTAATCTCTAACAAAATCCATAGTTTCTGGAAATCAGCATTTGTTTTGCCTCTATTCAAGGGTGGAGAGTAATCGCAGGTAAAGTACAGACCAATTTCTAAATTATGTATCCTAGCAAAAATTTTCGAAAAATTAGTTGCAGATCGATTAAAGATTTTTTCAGATTCTAATTGTATTTTACAAAATGTACAGTCTGGTTTTAGAAAAAAACATAGTACTGTTACTGCAACTTTAAAGGTTTTTAATGATCTGATCCAGGCTCTTGATAACAAAAAAAAACATTGTGTTGCTTTGTTTATCAATCAAAGGCATTTGACACAGTAGATCACCACTTTTAATCGAAATTCTACACAAAATTGGGCTCTCATATCAAGCTACCATGTGGATAGCTGATTACTTGTCAAACAGAACCCAGAGAGTCCAATTAGCTGGCTTCACCTCTTCTACTCTCACTATTTTAAATGGCGTACCTCAAGGCTCAATTCTGGGTACACTTTTATTCTCCATTTATATAAAGAACTTGTGCGTCAACTTGTCAAATGCTTCTTATAATTTTTATGCAGATGACTTAATATTGTACTGCAACTCTTCATCATTATCACAGGCAATACAGTATTTACAGTCTGCTTTTAATGTAGTTCAAACACGTTTACAAACTTTGAAGTTGGTTTTGAATGTGAATAAGACTATGGGCCGGATCTATCAAAGGTTTGCGTGTATAAAAACGTGAGCTATTTCACTGCGCACGCTAAAAAATTTACAAACTGATCTATAAACAGCGTGCTAAAAGGATTTGGTCTTTAAAACGTGCTAAATAGCGCCTCTTATCCATTTAGTACTTTTTCTGCAATGAATATGCAATATGGGGCGTTTACACGCAAAAGTGCGTCTTGTGGGAGGAGAACATGTAAATATATTAATTTAGCACTCGCAAAGTGATTTATTAAACCTGAAAGCAATTTTGCTAACGGTATCTGACTCTATATTTGTACTATATTTGTAACTTTGTATCAATTTGACTGTATGATCTGGTTGAACTGTAAAGTGCCTTCAGATGACGTGTTGTGAATTTGGCGCTATATAAATAAACTAAAAACAAATAAAACTAAATTGGTAGCAGCAACATTCCTGCCACTTCTTGATTATAGAAATGTTTTATATATGAATGCTTCAACCAAATGCCTGAAATCATTGAATACTGTTTATCATTTTGCTTTAAGGTTTATAACTGGTAGTAGACGTTTGATACATCATTGTGATTTGTATGCAAAAGCTGATTTACCTCCTTTAAGTGTTCGGAGAAACAACCATTTGTTGATCCTAATATATAAATCTCTCCTTGGACTAACACCAACATACTTAAGCTCTCTTTTGCATAGATCTAGTAGTTCACATTTTTTACGCTCCAATGTCTCTTCTACATGTGCCTCGTGTTCGAACTGATAAAGGAAAGAAAGCATTCAGTGTGTTGTCTCATACAGCGTGGAATCAGCTCCAGTCTGAGCTGACTGTGTCGGACACCATTTCATTGCACTTATTTCGAGCGGTTCTTAAAGATAGAAAACAAGCTTCTATGAAACGGTGTCACTGCTTTTAAGTTGTTTTTATTGTTTTATATTTGTGCATATGTATTAATTGGTTTTATTTTTGTAACCAGTTTGCAGTGTATTGCAGATCTCTGCCCAGGTCCCCCTTGAAAATGAGATCCGGGGTTCACCTAATTAAATAAAGGAAAAAAAAAATAAAAATCTACGCAGAAGTTTATGTAGTCAGTCAGACACTCATTCATTGCATTGATGTCCTCTCCATGTGGCTGAAACAGTACATCCCAGTCTTTGGCCTGAAAACAACTTTATAGGTAGCCTGATAAACCAGACTAAATGTGAGATTAAATGTGTAATTGTTATGACTCGCAGTGTGTAACTTGCAGGCAAAAATGATTTTGGCGGGTGGGGTTAGTTTACTAGGCTTTCTTATAGGGCTTCTTCAGCTTCCTTTGACCAACTTTTACAGTCCTTTTTAATGCAGGTTGTTTCCTATAAAGGGAGATAATCTGAGCAGAGAAAAACAAGATGGTGATTTGATTTCCCAAGAGGAGGTCTTACTTCAGAAACGTAGGAGTTCTTGATATCTTTGTATAAAATGTTTTTGTTTTCTCTCGTACAGCAGCTGACAAGTTGTTGGAATGTTGGCATTTTCAGTATATGTGTTAAATTAAACTGAAAAAGAATCATTTTAAACCTGTTGTTAATTTTTTAAATCTCTTTTCCCTCTTTCAAGGAAAGAAAATACGATACTATATGATTATAGTGATGTACTTAAAATCCTTGTTACTGGTCTCTCTTTTTAAGGACGCCATCATTGAGATAAAAGTCTAGTCTCTAATATTAAATATATCTTTCTACTTACTATGCTAATTAAGTCACTGAACTTTGTGCACATTTTTCTTGACAAATTCGCTGAGGTTTAATCAAACAAGATGGTTAACACCTGTAAACAATGATTTTTGCTGCAGATTCTCTGTAGGATGTTGTCCAGGTTTGTCCTTCCAATGACTTTCTTTTACAAATAGTTTTCTTTTTGTTACACTCTTAAAGAAAATCCAAAATGCATAATGAATGATAATTCTCCTTCTTTAGATGATTGATTGAACTGTGCACTGAGATGCCAAAATATTACTTCCCAACAACTTTATTCCTGCCACTTCAGCTGCCTTCCCTTGTCTCCATAATGCTCTTTTTTTCACTAATGTTAGGGTTCACACTGAGTTAAGAACAGAATTTATTAACTCATTTGCTGACTTCTAAAAAAGGAAGGTGCCAATTTTATTTAGGCGTTTAAACACAAAACCGACACCAAAGAACATATTTTATTATTTGTTTGCATTAAATAATGGCTCACATTAAGACATTAGCTATTTTTCCCTCTATTTGCATCACAAATGTGTGAAAACAAAACTAGCAATGAAGTAACAAGAGCAATATTCACAGTAAAACAGATTCTAAAATGCGCTGTGACGTTTGATGCTTTTGACATTGCATTGTGTAAAAACATAATACATTAAGAAGCAAAAGTTTTACCAAAATTTATTGAAAAATAAAACAGCAATTTCATTGCATTATTATTAGTAATGCAATGTGAGTTTACCTGATAGATTTACACTCGGCAGCAGAGAAAGGCAACAACAGAAGGCACAAGCCACAGATATCACTGTCAACTATTATACACAATGAAACTGTTTTGATAAGTATAACAAGCCTGAGCACATGAGTTCTTTTAACTGAGAAAAAAACATTTTGTCCCTGAGAGCTCAGGTTGTGACACAAATCAAATGGACAGAAATCTAAAACAACCTTAAAAAACATGTCAATTGGATAAGAGTTGCATATCATTTAGACCCCCCCCCCCCCCCCAAAAAAAAAAAATAAATAAATAAAAATAACAAACTGAATACAGACATTTACTGTGAATCTGTTATTGACTTTGGATTTGCTTTGGGGAAGTCCTTATCGAAACCTAGCCATCAGCTCTGGATTGAAGCAATTTTAAATTTTTTCAACCAAACCCAGATGCCATTGTACCTGTACAGGAGTTGCTCTTTTAGTAGAAATGATTAGCTCTTATTTTGAACATATTCCTCAGACCATGGTATAACTGCTGGACAAAACTAATCTTTGGACAGTACACATGCAACCATTTGACCTTAATATTATGAACACAAAAATGCCCTTATGTATTAACAAATTGATAATTTTTTTCAAATATTTTCTAAACAAATGAGGACTTGAATATAACCTGTTCTATTTCCTGAAAAAAATATCACTATTTTTGCAAATGATTAAAATAAAAAATGCTGAAAAGTATGTCCCATTAGATGCTGTGCTAATTGAATACATGACACCTCACACTAACCTTAATGATAGTTCATTTCATGTAGATTTTCTTTGTTTCTTTAGGATGCACCTCTGCCAAATGGTTTTTTTTTCTACTGTAAACTACGTTTCTTCTTTAATTCTGTAATGAACGGTCTTTAATTTAGTACATTGTACTCTAGAAAGCGGTTGAGAAAGTTGGACCATCTGAGGCATAAAATAAAAAACATGTTTATTTTAGGTATTGTGTTGACAGGCAGAACATTATAGTAGCTTTTTTTTTTTTTTTTTTTTTTACATTTAATTAGATTAGCGTTGCCTTTAATGTCACACAATTTCTGATTAAACTCAGTGTATTTACTTAATATACACGATTCGTTATACACAGTATTTTTCTGGGGCTCAACAATTATCGTGTCATAAATGAAAAGACATTTTTTCCCATTGCAGGAGAAAAGCTGGAGGTGAGAATTATGACAGCCTTCCCCAAACAACAGACTATGATGTTAGAATGAAAACAAGAACTTCCCCTATTTGTTTACGAAGCTTTGGATATCTTTTAAAGTTTAGAGGCATCCTGTGTTTCAGGGAATCCCATTCCACAGCCATTTGTTGACAAAAATAAAATAAAAAAAAACCTCAGTATTACAGTTTTAGACAGATAATAAACCAATAAAGAGACCTGGATTTACATTGGAGCACCCTCTGGAGGTTGAATAGTGCACTGAAATCCCATAAAGTAAAAAAAAAAAAAAAAAAAAAAAAGAGAATAAAAAAAAGTACTTTAATTCCTTTAGTAGAGGATGTTTCTCTATCCATCATAAGTCTCGCTCTCTCTACAGAGAATGTTTAGACAGTAGTCTTTTCAGTCAGATTTCTTTAAAGCCACTTTAAGCAAGCTAAAAATATAAAGGTTTTAGTCAAATAACTTTTATTTCATGTGTAGATCATTTTTTTCTCAATCTTAATTCTGTTATTTTATTTAAGATAAATTGACATAATTTCAGATGTACTTAAAATAATTTGCTTTTGTCATATAAATAGTTTAAAAAAATTTTTTTTCTCATAAAACTCTATAATAAATCTGTATGGAAGGCAGTAGTTATTAAAGAGCAGTGCATAGTGTAAACCTCCTTTACATTTCAGTTTAAGTATGTACAAACAGAACAATTCAAGACATTTTAGTATAATTTAAAACATAATTAAAAACTACCACAACAGTCCAGAAATAAATTCAAGCTTTTCTTTTTTCACGTTGCTTTTGTTTTGTTTTTTCTCTCTGTGTAGCTTCACACATACTGCACATGTTTACAGCTCCCCCCCCCCCCCCCCCCCCCCCCCCTATGCTGTGTGCTGTTCCAGAGGTGAAGAGTTCAGCTGGTGTTAGTGAGCTGCAGGGGCTTCAGTCAGAGCACTCGATAGGCACGTCTCCGCCAGCTGGGACAGATATTTCTGTCAAAATAATGAATTAAATGGATTTAACCTCAATTTATACAACTAATTACACTGACCAAGACCTTTTTAATGTTAGTTGAGACTTATGCAGTGGTGACATCTAGGTTTAACTAAACTAACAAGACCACCAGGAGCCGTTGTCCACCGCTCTAGCATGTCATCCAACACCCTGTCCCTTTCTGATCTAGTATCCCTCCTATGTAAGGACTATCTGACTCCTGTTAATGCTGGGATGGCAACAAGTAACAAAGACACTCTAAGAAAATGTAAAAAAAAAAAAAAACACTCTTTAATTAAACTTTTTTTAAATTAAAGTATCATAATATTGCACTGGACATTTTACAAAACTCCAACTCCAAATGTAGCTAAAACAATTTGATAAATAAAAAAAATCCTGTGTATTTTTAAAACACATAAGATTATTTTCAAATGATTGACCCAAAAAATGATTGTCCATGTAAAACACTCCCTTCTAATACGCTATTTAACATTTGTACTAATGTAAATATTAAGTGTCAAGGAACCCTAAACCATTTTGGGGTATAGATATAATATGACTTATTTATTTTGCTTAGTCTTCACACTTATTGTTAGAAATTATCTCACAAACCCAATGGCTGATAGTGGCAGCACTACTGTAGACACTTAACACAGTTGAGTGTTTGCTGTAAAATATCTGTATACTTCTTTATTTTATGTATATCTGTTGATAATTTGTGTAATTAGATACAAAAAATAAAACAGAAAGTGGAATAGGAACTATTCCACTTTAACTTTTTTATCCTTTATGAAAATACATAGCTAAATATCTTATAAAAACAAATATAGGCATATTTCAATTACTTTCTTTACCACCTACAGTAAAAACTAAACCCTACCAGTAAAGCTAATCCACAAGTAGTAATAGTCAAATGTTAAAGCTGAGAAAGTGAAACAAAAACCTTGCAATCATTTTTTTTTTTTGTCACAATCATAAATTAACCTTCTTAGTTTCTCAATATGTAATTGAGTTTCCCTTGCATTGCAGAAAAAGACTTAAACTACTTCACGTTAAGGGCCACATCAACTTATTGAATGCAATACTATTTGAGTGATACGCGTGTTTTTTTTTTTTTTTTTTTGCATTCCAGTTCACTCACATAAAATACTACAGCAAGTAATAATAAATAAACAAACAATATTAAAATAAAAATACTAATATAATTACAATTTGCTGTGCAAAAATAAATAATGAAATAAAAAAATAGAGAAAGGGTGTGGGACGGTCAATGTTTAATGAGGTTTTCCCTACCCTCTATTAGCAAAACAAAGAAAAAGAAACAGCAACGTGATCGGCTGGAGTAAGACACAAACCTGCAGGTTCCTGTAGTGTACGGTGCTGCGGCAGTGAGTCGTTTTTGCTGCATCCTCGCTTGTGTAAAACAGCCCACAGAGTTTACAGTAAAAGCCTGTCCTTGGCTCAATGAACTCCACCCCTGTCAGAGAGACAACTAGATTCAGATACTATTGGTTTAGACAGACAGACAGACAGACAGACAGACAGACAGACAGACAGACAGACAGACAGACAGACAGACAGACAGACAGACAGACAGATAGATAGATAGATAGATAGATAGATAGATAGATAGATAGATAGATAGATAGAAAGAATTTTAATTTCCTTAAGGGAAATATGGAGAATTAAAAAAATTGATCAAATAACAATAAATTAACAAAAAAATACAAAACACAGTTAGAGGTGCTATTCATCATGTAAGTAATATTGCACTGCAACCGAGTGAACAAATACTAAAGTACCCGATAACTTAATGAAATAAACCACTACTGGCACCCCAGAGTCACAGTCCTTCTCTCTGCCAACATCATAACCGAGTCCAATTTCATGCCGACCGCCGAGCCGGCCCGCTTGATCAGTTTGTCCCACCTGTAAGTGTCTTTCTTAGGCGTGCTTTTCCCCGAGTACACCACGGTGTAAAAGGACACTGGCAACAACAGACTGGTCAAAGATCGATAGGAGTTCTTGCAGATGTTGAATGACCGTAGCCTTCTCAGGAGATACAACCGGCTCTGACCTTTCCTGTACATGTGGTCAGTGTTCATAGTGCAGTCCGGCTTGCTGTCCAGCCACAGCTCTTAGTAGTTGGAGGAATCCACATTCGCCACCTCGACTCCCTCTATCAGAAGAGGCTGTGACCTTGGTCAGGGCCTCCTGAAGTCAATGACCAGCTTTTTGGTTTTCAAGACTTTGAGCTGCAAGTGTTTCCTGTAGCACCAGTCAGCAAAGCCCCTCACCAGGCTACGGATGCTATAAACCATGTGCTCAGTCTTGCAATTTAACCCCAGAGATAATACAGATCCTGCTTTTTGCATCTAGTTGACATCAACAAGCCTTTTAGGTATTATATAAAGTAAAAGGTTGGTCCTTCACGCATTGCTTCTGTCTTAATGTGATTGATTTATATTTAGCACTCCTTTAGTGTTTGAGCATTGTAGTCTAACTGAAAACCAGTCATACTTGTTGGTGGAAGTTTTGACTCCAGTATCAGGGTTTAAAGGATTTATGTTGTTGGGTTTTTTTTTTTTTTTTAACTAAATGGGACATAGTCTTAGACCTACACCAACTGTTTGTAACTCATTCAGCAGAGCAATCTTTTTATTTAAAGCACAAAATCTACAGGTAAACTTTAACAGGGCGATATTTGAACAGGTATTTATTCATCAGACCAAACTGGAGCACAAGAATATTTCTGTGATAATTTAAATCTTTATGTCCCAGATTAGGCTTTTCCCAAGTGGCAGTGCATGAGAATCAAGTCAGACCTCAAACAACAGACAAGAGTTTTGACTTTCATTTAAAATGCGTGGAACCTCACAGACATAACTACATATAAATGTTCCACCCTCTCAAATATGAAACTGTACCGATTTAGCTTCTGCTGAGATGGCATCACATAACTGACCACATGGCAGAAGTTTTTTTCATGTTTTCTATTCATGTTAATAAAATTGATGTTAATGTGTTATAATGTACTTACCCAAAGGTATACTGAGTTCACTGACAGCTTTGTCTTGATGCAGAGACGGTGAGGGAGCTTCTATTTCTGTGAAATACATTTATATATTAGGAAAGTAATAGAAAAAGGAGCTTCTTTTTGGTTAGTTATTCACAGAATTTTGTTCTTTCTGGATATTTTTTTCCCTCCAAGAGATGTGAAGAGAGGAAAATTCCTCAGGTCTGTTTTCTGGTTTCTACATAAAACTGTTACTGATATTTAAGGAATTTTTTGAACAGGAAATTTCTGTGCTTTAGTTATTTTGTTAAGGAAGAACTCTGCAAATATTTTTATGGATGTTCTCTTATTCACACATATGTCTCAAGTGTAAAATTTCGCTGATTAAAATCTTAAGACCAAGAGTTAGAAGCATTCACATTTACTCTCTTGTAAGATGAGAGATTAGATACAAAGCACAAAAAACATACAAGAGGAAGAAAAATCTTGTATGTTTTTTTTGCTCAGAAAAATCTGAGCAACTTATTGGAGCAAGTTGCTCCTCCATGTGTTAAAAAATGTTTCGCTAAGAACCTCCTTTTCCATCCATTCTGAAATGGTTTCAGTGGGATTCAGCTCAGATGTTTACATTAGCCTCCATAGCTCCGGTGGTAGATTAGCCTGTTTTTTCATTACCACCCAACAGCACAAGGAAAGTTTCTTTGCATCCACCACTTTATTTTCCTTGACCCTCACTTTCTTTTTAGGAATTGTGCAATGTCTGTCAAACTGATTTAAACCTTGACTGCAATGGCTACATCTTTGCGATCCTTTCACATCCATGAACAGAAAAAATCACGAAAACCTAAAAGATGGACTGAAAATCAAAAGAAGAAAAAAACAAAAAAAACAAAGCAAATATATTGATTTTAGGGGCCGCAATTGAAATATTCATCTGTATAGTGAGGGAACCTTCATGGAGCTTTGGCTGAAATACTTTAGAGAGCTAGTCCCTAGTGTCAAAAACTTTAGCTGGTACTTCAAAGAAAGAACTTTAAAGCAACTTTTCAAAGCATTAAAGTTCCACTGTATTTGTATAAAAGCTTTTACATAATCCAGCCCATTACCCAAAAATACCTCAATGAAGATTCTTGGGAAGTACAAGGTATATTCTGTGAAAGTTATGTAAAATACCAGGTAAGGTCTGTGAGGTTTTGGAGAGTACTACTGTACATACGTTTACTAAGTGTTTTGGAAAGTTCCCTGAGAGTTTCAAAAGGTTTCGGCTAGCTTCTTATAAAGTTTTTGAATGAAGCCTCTATGTTTCTGGAGATTAAAGGCTGCATTATGCAAAAAATCTATGTTGATATTAAACCTTTGCTTTGGACAGACACAGGTCAGGTGTTCCAGGAAAGGACAAAGATCTCAAGTACACATTAAAACTGGCCTTAGAATTGACAAAGCTTTCTGATATTAAGCTTCTGAAAGGCTCTCAGCATCAACTATTGTTCAAAATGTGTCAACTTGGCATAAAATGCAGGTCAAATCTGACACCAATAAAGGAAGACACTAAAGATAAAAAAAAAAACATTAAGGAAAGTACCTCTTTTTAGATTGGCATCTTGCAGTTGAACTTCCAATGGTATTTTTTCTGAGGTGTCTCTTTCATCCTGGCATTCATTGTCCTTTGCTAAACATACATGATTTTCCATTGGTTCATCTGGTGCCTCGTTGTTGGGGAATTTGGTGTCCTCTGAGCAAGTTTCCTCGAGTGCTGCTTTAAACTCTTCATTGGGGAAGCTGCTGAGCTCAGCAACTTTATGATCGGTTGTTTCTGAATTTGCTTTCTTGCTGTCAAGACTGGTTAAAGCGGTTATATCTGCTGCTTTGTCAGCTTCAGCTTTCGATGCTTCCACTCCTTTATCCTCTGAAGACTCCTCCAGTTTAGGTGCATGGTCAACTGGCTCCTGTAACTCTGCTGGGGGCGTTGATGGTGAAACATGCTTCTCTTCTAGTTCTTCAACTGTAGGCTTTTTATGGCATGAAGTAAACTCTTCAAGCTCAGAGATATCTGGCTCAACGATGTTATCATCTTCTCCTCCCACTTCATCGACAGTGACTAGCTCCTCCATGTTTTTCGGGTACCAGCATTCTTCATCTGTATCTTCAACACTTTCCACAACATTCTGCTGAGGACATAGATGAAGAAAATATTTAACAGTTGCATCACCTAACAGGATACAGAAATCTTCAGAGTTGGAGTATGGACAAGGAAGTTGGTGAAATTTTGGTCACAGTTTCATCGAATTGTGACCGTAACCAATGCTGGATACGGACACAGTTTTAAAGTCTATCCAAAGGTCCCAAAGTAAGTCACTTAAAAATGTAGTACATTGTATGACATATCTGTTAAAATACATCTGTTCATGATTAACATAAATCTCTTAACTTTTAAATATGTATTTCAAGTAAATAAGTTTCTGTGGGGAATGATTACGTAACAAATCACTTCTACTATTTCAAACACTAGAAATTACTCAAATTAACACAAGATTGAATGCATAAGTACGACCTAACATATGTAGATACACGCACCCAACTATTCTTGGAGGGGAGTGTTGACCTACTGGTTAGGGAGTAAAGCTTGGAATCTTGAGGTTGTGACTTCGAATCCAATTCCCATAGACTGCCACTCTGGGTCTCTGAGCAAGACCCTTAACCCCCGATTGCTCCCCAGGCGCCGCACAATGGCAGCCCACTGCTCCCCAAGGGGATGGGTTAAATACAGACGTAAACTTCTCCATTGTGAGATTAATAAAGTTAAATTATTACTTGTTTTAAAAAGATGAATCTGTACAATAGGCTTTTTGTAGCCTACAACAAGTTTCTGGTACAATAGCAACTCTTTACATTGGTTTGTTTAAGCTAATTTTGAGTTAATGGAAGAGTAAGCCAGTGGCCGACTATTGTGTTGGTCATCGTTCAGCCAGTTAAAGGTATAGTGGAGGATGTTCTTTTTCCGGGTGGATCATCGAAATAAGTGGTCCTTCTAATTGTCAATCTTTCTGGTGATATGTTTACATAAGGCCGTACTATGTGCACGTCCCCATTTTCACTTACCGGTGGTGAGGCTGACATAGTGGAAAAATTGCAAATCTTCTTTTGGAAAGTAAGCTTGTATGAGTGATGCAAACAGCAACTTTTAAACAGAGCGTGCACGAGGAGAAATAGGCTCCTACATGTACTCGCACACGTTTGATAGGTGTTCCCTTACAGGGTTACAGGCTTGTCCATGTTCACTTTTTTAAGAATTTAAAATTTGCAAAAATCCTCCACTCTACCTTTAATGCTGTGTGCTCGCAATCAGTTTTCTATTGGTTTACTTATTTGTGTGCAAGCTTCAGTTTGGGTTCAGTATTGGGTGACATCAAAGAATTTAAAATTAGTCCTCCAAAGCATAGTGCTACCACCATCATACGGACAGTTCCTATGGTGACGTCTCAGATCTTGCTATCCACTAAATGTATTTATTTTACTAATTTATTTTCACATGGATTTACCAACATTTTCCAATTTATTAGGTCTAATAAGACAATAAACATCAAAACTGTTTTTAAATGTATAAAGCAGACTAAGGCTCCTGCAATAGTCCAATACTCAACCATATTACTTATGTTTTTCTATGATTTAAACCAGTTTAAATGAATTCTACAAAATTTCCTCTAAAAAATATTCAAACAGACTTTCACAATTATGCCAGAAGCTTTCTGATGCTCAAAACATTTAACCAAAAATTAGGGGGAACTATATGTATAGATTTAAGCCTGTGTGTAATATTGTCATTGACTGTACTCAAGAAGACATATGATCACTTAATCTTGTGTCCCAAATTCATCTTTCCATTTTTATGGTTTCATTTCAAGAAGGCATAAAAAAACAATTTCTAATGACGCCTATGTTTACTTGTGCTCTGAACTGTTATAGTAATACGGTAATATTAAAGTATTTCAAAGTAATTTCAAAGTGTGAATTTATCCAACTTTTTATCAGCCACAGTCAGATTAAATTTTACAACACATATTGCAGTCATGTCAATAGTATTATGAATTACTTCAGCATTTACTCACAGTCTCTGTGTTTTTGTCACTTTCAGTAGCCTCTTTTGACTTGCTGCCTTGTTGAGGCAAAACAGAGTTTTCTTTGAACTTGTCGTCCTAAAATGTGAAAATACTTTGTTAGCTGATAGATGCAAAGCAATTATGAGGCAATGCCAAAGCAATAAGTACTTACACCATTTTCTTTCCCCTGTTTCTCAGTGTGTCTCTTGCTTGGGTTTTTGCTCCTGTCTCTTCCAGATGAACTCTGCCTCTTGTCCTCTGGTGTTCGACACCGAGGCCCATCCGTTGTCTCAAACTCAGAATGCCTTGACCGACCAGAGTGGTCCCCATCCCTTCGCCTGGACTTTGTGTCATGTCTATGATGAGACGTCCTCGGTGGTTTACCTGACTTGTATGATGACTCCATGAATAAATCATCCTCCATGTTCCTGTAAGAGCTGAAGGATGATCCCAGAGGACTGTCCCGTTGGTGCCACTCTCTGCTGCTCCTTGGTGCTTCACCACTTCCATGTCCATCTGCAGATCTGAAGCCGGGATGACCCAGGTGTTTGTGGTAGTTCCTCCGACGGTCTGCTGTCCTCCCATTAGGTTGATTGTCACCCATATTGCCACCATTCCTCCATGGATCGTCACGCTCCCTTTCTTCCTCTCCCCTTCTCATATGGGATGGCCAGTCTCTTGAACCCCGGTGAGGGCTTAGGCCGTTACTGCCCCTGTCCGGACCCCTGCATGGTGCCACTGGGGGACTGTGGGCAGAGCTGCATGATGTAAAACTGGGACTGTGGGAATGAGGACTCAGAGAGCGGCTGATGGGGCTGCGAGAGCGTGCTCTGTCTGGAAGATAGCTGAAAAAAACAACCTTTCAATGTTTCTAAAATCTCTAAATGTTTTTTAAATGTTAATTCCTCAGAATTGATGCAAGTAAAACAAAGCATTTTCTTACTGTTCAAACTCTTGCATCTTATCCCTTTCCTGCTGTGAGGTAATATCCTGGATGATTGATTGAACATCTTTACCTGGCTTCTGAAAAATATATACATATATTCAGGCTTAGCACCTGTCTAACATGCCATAAATTTTAACACTTTCTATGTTATATAATTCACCTTAAGCTGCAGCTCCTTGTATCTCTTAGACATTCGTATGAGGAGTTTCTGATTGTTAATGGTGGCAGGATTTAGCTGATAGTACTGAACCATGGCCTTAGCTGCCTCAACATAGGCCATCTCCAGAAAGGCCTGTTTAATGAGGAGAGAGCTTCCATTAAGAAAAACAACAAGAGTGACAATCGGCCAGTTACAGGATATACAAAGTTTAAAATAGTTTTTGTTTATAAACGGAAATAAATATCACATCCGTGAGATGTTTTTATAGCTGTTTGGAACATAGTAATGCAGTGCTTTCCCTGGATGGCTTTTTTACTTAAGGTTATCATATTTTCAAAATATTATCACCCCTTAATTTTCATCCTTAGTGGGAAACTTAATTCAGGCTTTTTATTTTAGGATATCTAATCACATTGCCTTAACACATCATATTTACCACAGTTTTAAATAACCAAAGGTGGGATTTTAATATGAATTCTTTAAATGTAATTATTCTGTTAACTGTTAACCTTTAGCTGATTTTCTAAATACTTTACAACAAAAGCTTTTAAAGATTAAATAATGAGTCCTGAGGAAATTCAGAGTATTTAAAACGGATCCCAAAGTAATTTGGAGGAAAAAAATTCAGAAATAATTTTTTGGCTTCATCGGTTTACTGGCTTGAAACTTGAAGATTCTGTTGTTATAAAAATTGTATACTGTATATATATATATATATATATATATATACTCACGCAGTCATGGCTTTAAAACACAGCAGCTATGCCCTCCGCTTCCTCAGGTAATCTACAACTGCTGCTGCTGGTGTTACAGCTCCACTAGAAGAGGTTACCATTAGGGCAATATTTCTCTATTAGAATGTACTATAATAGGAGACAGTTTCTTAAAAGTCAAACTATGCCTAAAACATACTATTATGAACATAAACGTTTTCTTTATTTCATTAAATTTATTTTAATATTACAATGTATTTGCGAGTAAATTCAGATATTAAACGTATTAGTTTTCTTTATTCTAAACCACATCAAATGACCGATGTCTATAGAAAACATGTTTCTGAATAAAGATATTTTAAATGAAAATTGTCTTTCCTTTGCCTAAAATCAATCACTTATTTCTCTGCCTGAGTTTCGGATTCACCTTTACATAATGGATTAAAATCCTCTGAGGTTATATATTACATATCAAATTTCTTGTTTAAAGTACATTTTTTGGTTTAACTTTCTTTTTTTATGTGGTATTATTAAGAAAATAGAGCAGATCAACAGGAATTTACACATTTTGGGACATTTACAAGTTAATTTTGGGGATGGATTTATCTGCATTGCACCTAAAACAACGAACATAAGAAAATGTATGTCCCATAAAAATGAAAACGTGAAAAATTATGAATCAACATAATGTAGGCAATTATAAGCGCACTTTAAAAAAGCAGGTCTTGTACCTGATGGGTGGAGCGCATTAGAATGTAGTTGGTGACTTTTCCAAACGGTATTCCCAGGTTGATGACATCATTCTCTGTACAGCTGCCCTCAGGCAGGTTGCAGATGTGAACGACTCGGCCTGCAGAGGCTTTTCTTGGTGGAAAGGGCTAGAAATAGAAAACAAACAGACATAATTCAAACATTTGAAAAAATCTGATCAAAATCTCAAATACCGTAGCTGCTTGGCAGTACAAATTACTTGTAATAACAAGGGTTGGTCTTTCTTGTAGAGTTTTGCTGCAATTGTTTCTTTTACTTCTGATTTTTTCAAAGCTTTTAGAAGCCGGCTTACTATTGACAAGGTTTTCACAGATAGAAGCGGTCTTGCCTAATGTCTATATAAATGCAGGATATAAAAGTCAAGCATAGTGTGGTAAACCTGGCTGTCTAACTATGTGCAACATTATACAGCACGATTCCAATTATTATTAGCTCATTGGCAGTAGTGCTGTGGTGATAATGAAAGTTTCTTGTTTGGATTTAGAGACATGTCACTTGAAAGGTCTGCAACATCTCTCACGTTTGACAGTCAACTGCAAACCTACCAAGGTTTGGAGGTTCATCTTAACTAACTGCCGGAGAACGGAGAGCATTAATCAGATATATAGAGAAGGGTTGCTCTGGAGGAGCTGCAGAGGTCCACAACTCAGGTGGGAAATCCTGTTGACAGGACAAGCATTTGCTGTGCTCTCACCTCTCAGCAATTTTGGCCTCAATAGAAGAGCGGCAAAGTGAACAGCAAAGTCACCAGTCCTATTTGCTGTTTACCATGAGGCATGCAGGAGGGAAAAGCACCAAACATAGAGAGAAAGATGTTCTTTTCAGATGAAACAGAACTGAACCTTTAGAAGATAAGCAAAACAAACCACATGTTTTCATACTGATTTACAAGATAACTTTTTTTTTTAAATCATTTAGTCATTTGGGTAATGTGTTGAAATATTGTAAAAAATCTGATCATTAAAAAAAGAAATTCCCAAGCACACAGGAAGGTTTGGATTCAAGTAGTTTTGCGGCGATGCTAGTTTTTGGCCCCAATACCGACGCCCAATACTTGGTTGTGCAGTATTGGCCTAATATCTGTTACCATCTGTTTGAAAATACCATCTGTTTGAAATTGATGTGTGGATGAAGATTCTCAGTCATTCAGGTCAAAGTCATTCCGTAAAAGTTTAAAAAGCAATCCACTGGACTTGGCTTCCAAGGTTTGAAGACATTTCGCTTCCCCTCCAGGAAGCTTTCTCAATTTAAATGTCTGGATCAGCACTGAGAAAACTCACTGCAGATCCAGACATTTGAATTAGGAAAGCTTGAATTGAGAAAACTCACTGCGGATTCAGAAGCTTTCTTGGAAACCAAGTCCAGTGGATTGTTTTTTAAACTTTTACGGAATGAAATTGATGTGTGTTTGTATATATGAAGAACTGCATACTACTTGGATGTAAAATAATTGCCATCATGGCTTTGTCAAGCCGCTGCCTACCTTTGTGAAGCAGGAAAAAGACTAATACAAAGTGAATCCAGTAGAAGTTTTTATTGCCTACCTGGAATGGGTGACAATAGTTGAATAAACTTCTGGCTCTCAAAATGGTTTTGGTGCCCTATTTGTTGGTACTCGCTGATACCAATACCACCATTTTAGTCCTCAATCGGGGCCCCATGTGTTGGTTGATCAGTGCAACACTAGTTTCCAGCTAAATCTAATGAGTTGAACTATCATGTTTAATGGAAAAAATAAAAAACATTCATCTTTGCTGTCATCAGTAGTAAAATCTCATGCTCTAAAGCAGGGTTCTTCAACGTTTTCCAGGCCAAGGACCCCCAAACTGATAGGGACTGACAGGGACCCCCTAATTACATATATTGTATGAAATTCTGTTATATCAAACTGGTGCTATAGTCACCATTACATATGGACTAATGTAACGAAAGTAATTTTGCCCTTTGATTATTAAAGAATTTCTGATTCTGATTCCTGGTTGATGGGACAGGTGTTGTGAATGAAACGGTGTCCAGCTTGAAAGAGCTCCTGTGTGTCACAGAATGTGTGCATTGATGACTGAAATACATCTTCTGCCTCCGTTTATTTCTTTACTACAGTGTGTTGAATTCATGTTAATGTGGATTTAAAGACATTTCAATTTGTGACAAAAATTGCAGGGGGGAATATAAAAAAAAGTCTCATCAACCAAAACTTTCACGACCCCTATGCAGTTCTCTGTGGACCCCCTAGGGGTCGCGGACCTCCGCTCTAAAGTAATAAACCTGATCTTTTTATAGTGCAAAATTAATTGTTATAAATCGGTAACATCACTATTTCTGCCCTGTAATCGGTTAGTGATATATTATAGGTTAGTGTTAATAATTGTTGTAAATATTAAAAAAGCTTTTTTTCTTTTTTGTCTTTAATTAGCAGATCAAGAAAAGATGTGCTCAAATTATTACTGCTGATAGAATATTTCTGTCCATATTGAGCCTAGTCATGCAAATGCATGACTCACATTTCCAGTTTTCTATTCTAAAGTTTAAAAATTGTGAACTTCTTCTTATTATACAACAATAACTCCCAATTAAACCTAAATTAGGTTTGTGGTTACAAAATAAAATTGTGAGAAAGGTCAATGTAATTTTGGCAAAGCATCTTCTCTTAAATTTGAACTGAGAACAACTAATTGAACAGGGAATTAAGGTTTTCTTTTTAAAGAACTTTTGGTTTTAGGATATATGTCTAAATTCTTTTTCCTTTTTTCTTTTCTATTTTTAATAAAATGGTGCAGCTATGACTGCAAAGATAGGACACGAAAACAAAAACATAGATTTTAACTGTTGTTTCCTGTTCTGAGTAGTCAGGTGGAAATTAGCCATCTTGCCAACTCCTGCATATTTACACAAACACTATTCAGGGCTGTTTTCACACATCACTAAATGCCTCCTCTTCAACATAATAAGTTCTGAAATAAAATCTACAACTACTGAAATAATGATAAATTGCTTGTAAATTTAGCTCAGCGTATAAATGTGTCCTGTTTCTGTAACCAGCTGCAGTTTCCTCACCCCCTCTCTTGCCCTCCTATAGTCACACAACCTGACAGACAGCTCCATGTGCGGCACAGGCGGTGGTCTTAATCCCACTTTGGATCAGACGCCAGGGTCTCGGGTTTTACAGGGAATTTGTTCAAGGAATACCAAACAATAACACAGACTTTACTCCGATCAAGAGTAGGAGGCCCAAAGGGAATATGAGCACAGCTCTGTCCTTTCAAAGTCACCCATAATAAAGAAGGAATTTATTTCCAGTGCAACAGATTGACTCACAGATCAATAACGTTCCTCTAATAGTAAATCCTGACATGTTTAACTTTGGACAGGCATTTTTTATTGAACATTTATTTAGGATCAAAACCTTTAAAAGAGATGATATTGTTTTTGACAAAGCTTAAACCAGAAGGTTGAATGGATGATCTGTAATATTAGAGGTCTGTAGGGTGACTTAACAGTTACTGGTCGGTTGAAACTGTTATGAAATAAACAGCTCTAGATGTAGGAGTGATAATTCTATTAGCAGTGTTCGCCAGCTCTCCCTCTGCAGCAGAAAACATAAAGGTCAGTGCAGGCTGAGCTTAATAAACACATCCAAGAATAGGCTGGTTAAATATATAAGCGAGATCAAAAGTCTTGAAAAGCTTACAGAGTTTGATCAGAGTGATCAGTGGGAGTACAGTCACTGTTGGCTTAGTGTTTAAACAGTAGCTGATCCCATAAACTGTCGACCATTACAGTTAAGTTACCTCGTTTCTCGTTCCACACTCTGTCACAGCTGCCTTTAAATTCACTCAAACCAAATTAATTTAATAAATTTCCATTTAATCCTAGTTTTAAAACATTGCTGTTTTTTGAGAGGTAATACAACATTTCTCACCAAGTGATATTTAGATTTGATGTGGAAAATTGTTTCATAATTATTGTCTAGTTTAGAAACACTCAAGGCAATTTAAACACTTGAAACAATTGTTTTTGTTATTTAAAGAGAAATACCTCTGTTTGTCTGATTGTTATTTGCATGCCTGTTTTGTCCCTTTAATATTCCATTAAACATATTTAAAAAAAGATAAAAAAAAGTTATTGACTGCAGCATTTTGCAGTGAGGATGCATTTACGGTCAATGGAAAGGAAAACTCCTCCCTGAACAGGAAGAAAACTCAAGCAGAACCAGAGTAAGGCTCAGTGCGAAAAGACATTTGTCACCAACCGACTAGAGGTAAACTAATGTAAATCATTGCAGATCCAAACCTTTAAAAAGGATTCCCTGTTTGCTTTACAGGCATTTAGGTTATCTTCTTCAATTGGAAGAAATTAGTCTTTTCTCGGCAAAAGGAACCGGATTTGAGCCTCTCTTTCTTCAAACACACATGCTGTATTCAGCTTAGCTGAGGTTAAAATATTTATTTAAAGCAGGTTTTGGTTTGCAAAGTATGTTTTGGGTATAAAATAATAATAAAAAAAAACAATTTACTATGAAATTTAAAGGAAGGGAAACAATTCTGTGTGTGGATCCCAACAGTTTCCTTTGTAAAAATATTTGAATTTATCTTTAATAATTTTGCGCCGTTTTTGAACTGCAGCCAGGGAGCCACGTAAATCAGTCCAGAGGACGCGCTTTGCACACCCCTGGTATAGACCATCTGTGTTGGTTGATCCAGGGAGAAAATCTCTTTACTTTTGCAGTTTCTCCCTTACGCTCATACACACACTGCTCATATGCCAGCTCCTCTGATTGCTTTACCAGTCTCTCACGGGTCTGAAACTTTATACCGCGGTACGAGGGTGCGACCCAGAAGTCTCCAGGTTGGTCTTTCAAACAGTGGTTAGATGTAATCCAGTGTTTATCGCTGCTCTGTTTCAAGAAGCTACAGAAGCTTCTGTGTTACTTCGGCATAGACCAATAGACACCGCAATGCCAATAAACACATGTTTAGCACTAAATGTGATTGAAGATGTAAAAAAAAACAACTAATTTATTATGAAAAAAATATAACCTTTACCTTTAAAATCTATGTGCATTTCTAAAAAAAGAGTAAAATATCTACCCTCTAGGTTGGTTGTACTTTGTTTGTGTGTGTGTGCAAATGTTTTGTAAGAAGAAAAGCTTTCAAGGCAGTAAAATCCTGCCTCTGCCTCAGACGGGTGGCATTCCAGTGAACTAACATTAGCCTTAGCAGCGCAGCTTGTACATTTTGTCCCACATGTACAATAAAACCTTTACAATAAAACAAAAATCAAGTGATCCAATAATATGAATCAGACCAGGAAAAAGGAAGCTGTGGTTTCATAATATAACTATTTCAACGTAGATAATATTGATTTGAGTCTAGATCAGTTTCACAGTTATTTGCCTTATTTTTATCTATATGGCTTGTCCATTAGTTTAAATGTTTTCCCAACATGTGTTTTTTGCAGATTTATTTTTCATTCATCTATTTTCTTCCATGTGTTCATCAAAGAAGGCCTATATACAGTCTCTGTGGAAAAAGGGGGCCCACCCTGGAAAGGTCCATCACATATCTACTATATTTTTTTCTTATTATTTTTGGTTTCATAAAATAAATGTAAATATTTTGTTTATATTTGATAAAGTTATGGTTCCAACAGTCTTAAGGAAACATACAAGTGAGTGTGCAGATGGAAAATAGCCATAATCTACATGTAATCTACAGATTTATTTTTATACTTGTTAAAATATCTTCCCATACATTGTCCTAAATGAGACATGAAAAGAGGAAGTCTAGTCTATCATATGCATATTACCCACAATGACTGCTTTTTATGTAGAAATGTTATTTGTGCTTGATGACAGAGTAAATCTGTGCAAGAGACTTTTTAGTAAGCAAAGCTGTTGTCAGTAGATGGTATCTAATCTTCAGTTAAAAAAAGAAAAACATACAAAAAAGTGACAAAAAACACCCCCAAAAATCATAAGTGCAGCATCTGGGGAAGGGTTAAGGATGCAATGAAAAATAAAAATCCCTCATGGAGGGTTTTCTGATTCCCACAAAAATACTTGAATTTACTTGTAAGGAAAATATTCTCTGGGTTGACTTCAAACAAATAAAATTTAAACGTTGCTTTAGTGGTACAAAAAACAAAATGTTCTCTCCTCTATCCTTATCTATATCTATATTTTGTTGTTTTATGTTTTTTGTTTTTATACATAATAAAGACCAAGTTGGTCTGAATTATTGCTACCTGTTAGAGTAACAGTTAAATCGACGTTTTGTGTTAATTGAAGACTTCTTTTGAGTTAATTATGTTGATTTTAGGGCATTCAGGATTATAATATTACATCAGATCAATTAAGGTAGCAAAATGTGCTTTAATCCAACAATCAAGCATCATTGTATATTCTAGTTTATTGAACATGACTGAACATCTGATTGAAGGCAAATGCAGTGAAGAAAAAAAACTACTCTGTTGAAACAGCACTTGTTAGGGGTTCCCATTGTAATATTGTTTCTACCACCATTTAGTGGTGGTTCCTATTTGGAAAAAACAAACAAAACAATTTTAATACCAATATCAGACCAAGGTTAGCATGCTAACTCATTTGTGAAGTATGGACACTTTTTTGCAGTGCTTAAACTCCACTGTTCTCCACTGCAAACCATAGGAGGAGCAATCCCTACTGAATACTGAACATGCAATATAAATCAATATAGTGTTTGTTCAAAGTGAAACAAATTGAGAAATGTCCTTTCTTCACAGCTTACGGCTCTGGGCAGTGAGTCAAATCACCCACATCAAAAACACCCACAGGCATCTTGGTCATCTTTGAAAATAGAAAATAGTTCTAGAATAGAAAAAGCTCACTTCAAACACTAAACTATGGCAACAAGTTCAGCAGATACCTAAAATGCCTGAAAAAGTCAAGAATGGATAGATTATGTTTTATCTCGAGTCTGAGAAGTAAATATTCAACTGCTTTTTCTTAACCAAATATTTAAAAAGAATAATAAAATAAGGAATTTCCCATACATTAATAGAAAATACTCTGTAGAAGGCAGTTTTTCTCAACAAAAACATTTAGGAAAACTAAATAAAGACCATTCAGTTGTATTTGTATTGTGTGTTGGTGTCAGAATAAGCAGCCTGTCATTGTGTGCATATGTCAGTCCACAGACTGTGGACAGCTCCACGCTGCGCTCGAATTTACTCTGTCTACAAGTTAGGCAGGGCTCATTCTGGGCTCCTTTCACCTCACCGATCATCTGCTGCGTGCTTATTCAGACATCCGTCTGCATGATGAACATCTATCAACAGCAGTTTTTCCCCAGTCCTGGTCCAACAGTTTTAAAGAAGAAGCCAGCCGACTGTGACACTGCTTAAAAAGCAATACTTGTTTGCAGCTTTGCTCTGGAGAAAATTACTGGAGATTCAGAGATGTTGGGGTTTACGTGCAAAATTTAAAGTTAAATAATTATTCATTAATTCTTTTAAAATAAAGTCAATCATTTTGCAATTTTAGATTTTAATTTAACAAAAAAATTGATCCTCCTCAAAATGGAGAGAAAAAAAGAATGAACAAAGCTGCATGCCTCGAATTATAAAAAAAAAACCTTGTGTATTACTTATGGAGAACATTACCTGCTTACTGTTTATGTGTTTTATTTGTCAGATATCAGATCATATTAGTATAATTGTTTTGTTATTTTGGTGGATTTTTTAATAGAAAAGAAAAATACAGGTTTTATCTTGGTGAATAACAGCTGTTCCCTTATGTCTCTTCTACCACCAAACACCAAAACAAATGAATAGCTCATCAAAAACCATTAATAATTTTTAAGAAATAGCTTAAACTAAAACATTCATCTGACCGTTGAGTCGGGCTGGTGGGAGGCAAATACTCCGTCTGATGAAGGATAAGTTTTCATTGCTCCAGCTGGCAAGTATTGCACGTTGGTTTCTGAGCAAACATCTGTTAAAGGAACATATCAAAGATAGATGTCAGGAATCAGTCAGGAGTCTCGTAAACATCACAAATTGATTCTGTTCTCTGTATTAATCTTTTAGCAGCAACTTGAGTTTTTTTCTGAGTATGACTATCTCTGGAGTTTAAAGGACCTTTTAGTCCCTTGAAGAGAAAAAAGGTGGAATTGTTTTTTTGGACAAATTTATTCAAATATTCAAGCTCGAGAACAAAATCAACAAAGTAAGAAATAATACCTTTTAGAAATAGATTTAAAATTCAGAATTTTCCAACCACAGTTAAAATATGAGTATGAATAGATATCTTAAGGAGGAGGCAAAATTCTGTTACTGTTTTATTGTTTCTGAGCAGTTTTGGTCCCTGTAGGGAAAACACAGGCATGTCCAAAATGAGTCTTCGAGGGCAGCTGTCTTGCAGGTTTTAGATGTTTCTCTGCTTCAACACAGCTGATTCTGATGATTGCAGTTCAGCAGAAGTCTGTTAATCAGCTATCAATGGAAATCAGCTGTGCTGAAGCAGGGAAACCTCTAAAAGCTGCAGGACAGCAGACCTTGAGGACCGACTTTGGACATGCCTGGGATAGCCAGTAATTATGAGTACATGTGCCAAAAGAGAATTTTTTTTTTTTTTAATTCCTGGTTGTCTTAATCTTAGTTCAATTAATTTAAGCTCCAACATAAAGTAATTGCCAACTTAACAGAATTTATTAACAAGTAACTGAATTAAGTTTCCAAAACTTAATTTATTTAAGTATTCAACTTGTAGGCTTAAAACAATAAGTTGGATCAACTTGATTCAATTACTTGTTACCAATTGAAGCAACCCAATTAAGTTAAAGCAGCATTTTCTTTTTAGAGTGGATTTGGGGTAATTGTCATAGATGAAGATGCTCTGATCCAAACCATTCTGCTGTAGCTCTAGCTGTTTGTTTATTAGCTGGATCCTGCTGGATGGTCAAATTTCACATTTCAAGTCTTTGTGCTTTAAAACACTTTCCTCCACTCTTGCCTTGCCTGTTCTCCCACCAGACTGGTTCCATCATATCCAACCAGATTTGTTGTCTTGCTGAACAACACAGGTACCCACAGCATGATCAGGCCACCACCATGCAGGCTGTGTCCAAACAGCTGATCTGCATTTTTAGTCTTAAACTTCAGCTAGTGTTTTCTATGAAGACCAAAGAGTTTGATTTTGGTTTGGTTTAAAAATTAAGTTACAGTATTGTAACATCAACCAGCCTACAAGTTTGTTCCTGACCTGTATTTATTATTCTTAATGATGCTCTGTGTTCACTAATGTTCTCTTAGAAACCTCTGAAGCTTTCACAGAACAGCTGCATTTGCACTTAGGATACTGCTCACTAATCTGGTGACTCATAAAGGAAATTAGTCATTTCATTTTATTTTGGGATATCAGAGTAAATGGGTCTGCAAATGCGGGGTGCATGTTTCAAACGTTAATAATTCTGGTATCCTTTCCTTCTACTCTAGGTATAAACACTACTTGGATAGCCTTTCACATAAAATCCAATTAAAATATATTATTGGTTTTGTTTTCTAACCTAATGAAATGTAACCCAGTAGGGAAACGGGGTGTCAATAGTTTTAGAAGGCACAGTATCTTCAAATGACCAGAGGAGTTGTTCAGGATACTTTTTAATAACTTATTTGCAGCCGACATGCAGTCAGGCTCAGGTATCACGTGTTGTCTGAGTGAAACTGAGCCTCCTCAAAGTCATGTCCCTTGGATATTGTCAACATTAATAGTTTGGCACAAGCCGTCTGTCATGCCGTCTGGACCAGCCACCAGTGGTCTGTATAACATAAAGCATATAATACGGAACGCTGAAGGAAATAGGGGGTACTCCTCAGCTCTTTAGTGAGGTTTCTTTCTATAAATTAATGATATCAATAATTATGATCATTATTTTGGGTTGTTTTTGGTTTTGAAATCTATTTGCAAGCAATAATCTATAAACTAGATTTTGAAAAAAAAGCATTGCTCCCATATCAGCATAAATAAAACTAAGATTGAAGCGTTGATGATGAAGTTAGAACCTACCTTGGCCTGCTTTGGGGCAGGTTGTGGCATTCGTCCCTCCAGTGTTCAGACTTCCCTCAGATGACCTGCCGACGGCATACTGAGGGGCTCCGGCCGATGCTGCTGTTGAGCTGCAACAATCACACAAGGCTGATTTTAGCTGCCTCTCCCCTGCCTTGCTCACTCATATCTGGTGACAGAGCTCATAATGTAGAAAGATTCAGACAGCTGTTCGCAGAGCAAAAGCGAAGAAGAAGAAATACCCCTAACAGTAAAAAATACTGCAGTGTTTATTGCTACAAAGAGGCAAAGAAGAATGCTATTATAGAATAGAAATGCTTTGCAAGTGAATATTGGTTATAAATGTAGGAAATAAAACGTGTTTGGGTGAAAACTCACCTGTCAGCAGCATACAAAGTTCGATTCTGCAGGTGCAGTTTTCCCTTCACATGCTGGTCCCAGTCCTGAAAAGACACAAAAACACTCATACTGTGTCCAAACATAGTCTTAAAGCTCGCTGGATGAACACTGTTTGCCCTTCATGGCCAGGAGGAAAGCTGTTTAGAGTTCTTTGTTTTTCACTAACTAACCTGCTTCAGTGTTAAAGATTTTTTTCGAATACATCAGAAAGATTAAAATTAACATTTAAAATGTAATCAGTAATCAGAGGCTTAGGGTCAAGATTTAAGAGTCTGCTGGCCTTAATATGTCCAAAAATGTCTTTTTAGCTTTAACCCATAGAACCCTACGGACCCACCGGCGGGTCCAGCTGCTACATGACCTCGTAATTTTAACAAACCCCCAGTATTGATGTAAAAAACACATTTGGCACAGTTTGGTGACATTTTTGGATAAACGTGCCAAAATGGCCTCTCCGCCTAAGAAATTTCTCACTAATACCATTCTAAAATAAATATGATTCATCTGATTGAGTCCAAATTTGGTATATTTTTACACAATATTTAGATTTAAAAGTCTGTACTACTTTTTTGTGCTATAAATAATATTTTGGTAGTGTTTTGCAATGTTTATTTCAAAGAAAATTTTGGCGAGATTCAAAAAATGCTAAATATTTTGTATTTTGTCCCTAATATTTCAGGCAGGGTCAAAGCTACAATGGTGCTGACACCAGAAAACCATTCTATGACATCTTACCTTTACAGAGGTACCAAAAGTTTCTTCTTAAATCTAATAGCTGTGAGGCTATAAGTGATTTACTTTTGTGTGTTTTTGTCAGGCAGAAATTTATTTATACACCCTTAGGGTGTAAGAGGTTAATAATTTTACAGTTAAGAATAATATTATTCATACCTATGAAAGATTACAGTTTAGAGTAGACTTTTATTTTTATAAGCACTATTCTTCTGAGTGGAATCAACTTTAATGCTTTGCATTGAGCCATAAATCTGGCGGAGAATCTTGATGGAGCTACAGATTAGGGTGATGGCAGGGAGGCCTTGCAAACTTCTACAATTGGAGCTCATCATTAAAGATACATTGAACAGATGCATTCAACATTAGTAGAAACACTAAACAATTATGGAGGGTTTCATTGCATGCATATTTTTTTCTATCAACCTCTTGTTGAGAATGAACAAAGAAGTACCATGTTTTGATTAAATATTAACAGACACATTATTCTGTTTAAAACTGATCATCAATGTGATCATTTTTTTTTCTGCACTGTTGCATCCAGATTCCCAATTTTTAATCCCAGGTTTTTTGAGTTATGTTGCAGATCTGATAACTGTTTCAGATTATTATAGATTAAATGAAAATTGGTCAAAGTCCTTCAAAAATCACACATGAACTGTAAATAATTCTGTCTCCAGTAATAATATATTTGAATAATTTTCAAATGTAGGATTTTAATTTTCTAGTTAAAATATGCACATATAACCAGTGGTTATATTTATTGCTCCTCACACCAAGGTCTGTCTAATACTGATTTTATTAAGTATAAAAAAACACTAATTCTCTATGTTAAATTTAAATCAAGCAGCAAAGAACACTGAAAATATTATCTAAGGTGATAAAGGAATTTTAATTTTTAAACAAAGGTTTATCTAACATTTCTATGGAGTCTAAACAAAGAGATTACAACCAAATAATACGTTATAATATCTATAACTATATATAATATAGACAAATAATTTTTTCAAGCATTAGGTTTTCTGTTCTTACTATGAAAGCTTAAAGCTGTAAAAACAAAAGTGGACATTTTTCACAAAACAATAAAATATGTTTCCACTTCTACGTAACTTGAATTTATCTCAAAAAATTAATTCAATAAAATCTTCCATTGTGGTTTAAGAAAGCATATCTTTCTTAAGTTGCTTCACATTGTTTAGAAAGAGCAGATTTATTTAATAATTGGAAATTAAATCCCCACAGTACACCATTACAGTACACCTATGCTCACCTTGAGGTTATAGACCTTTTTGTCGCAGATGCTGCACTGATGTGGCAGCTGAGAGGGTGTGACGCCGCAATAATCGCTGACTTGATGGGGCTGTAGGGTCCTAGTAGCTGACGGTAAGGATTCCTGAGCTCCGTGCAGAGCCTGGTAGATTCCGAAGCCCTGAGTGCTGCTGGAGCCAAAAGAGGAAACCCCGCCGTAGCAGTTTAGCTTGGGTTCAGGGGTCGGCTCTTCTGGGTTGTATAGTTCTGTCCTGAGCCAAATCGGCTGCCCAGCTGAAGGCCGTGCTGTCGCATTGCTTGAAGGCATGTTCACCGTCCCAGTCTGGTTTAAGTTGTTATGGCCTTTCCATTGCTCCTTGTGTGCAGTGGAGTTCATTTGCTCGTTGGAGATAAACCCATGCTCTGCCTGCATGTCCTGCCCATAAAAGTCTCTGTGAAAGCCAACGTTGTTCATGTTTTTGGCCTGAGATTGAATCCCTGTGTACTGTTCTTCAGCAGACGTTCCTCCAGGTAAGCTGTACTGAACACATCTGTCCGTGCCAGAGGAGTAAGCTGATCCAGGCTTTTTTCCATACTCCCCACCGTGTTGACCTTTACCCCCCCCTCCACCAGGATGATCCAGTCTCACATTCCCTGAGTTTTGGTTGAATCCCCCACCCACCAAGGTCCCAACAACTGAGTTTGAAGAAGGGAAACCAATCATCCTAGTGGGGAAAGCCCCCTGTGGAATACCGACCAGAGATGAATTCCTTAATTGATTTAACATAGGCTGTGACATGTTGACATTGGAGATTAACTGATTGAGGATGCTCGCAGCGTTGGCCGTGTTTCCCTCCTGAGCCAGTTTGAGTCGATGGAGGGTGAGCTGGGCCTGGAGCTGAGCGAGCTGGAGGCTTGCTGGCGTCAGGAGGAGCTGGTTCTGCTGCTGAGGTCCAGTCTGCACATTGCCTGGTAGCTGAACACCTGCCTGATGGCCCTTTTTCTCTGTGCTGTCCAGTGATGGTGCTCTTATGCTGTATGGTGGGAAAATAAGACACATTAATGGAGCTCCCAATAAGTCTGCAAGTGAGGGAATTTTCAAAACCTCCCTAAAGTTGACTGTCTGGGGATTTTGTCATATGTTTATGCTCTGCAGCGCTGTAAAAAAAACATCTCTTACAGAAATAACTGTAATAATAAGGAATGTCCTGATACAACTTTCTACTTTCTGATACAATACCGATATTTACCCGATACAATATTAGCACAAATAATACCTGCTTTTATCACTTATTTTATATTTTAGAATGCTCGGAAAGGCTTAAACAAGTAATGTTACTAAAGTAGAAACTTTCAAAAGAAGCAGATATTTTCTATTAGTATGAAAATATTTTAGATTTTAGATACTGGCCAATAAAATCCGATCATATTTCTTTTGGCTAATATTGGACCGATATCCGATGTTTATATATTGGGACATCCCTAGTAATAATAATATTATCCAAAAAAAAAGGTTAAAACAAAATGGGAAAAAGAAAAGCACATAAAGCAACTGAAATATTAAATAATATTAATATGACATATCTAATAAATTCTGGATTTAATGTTAATTTATCAAAAAAATAAATAAAAAATTTAAGGATGGTTTATGAATGAATTAATAACAGTTTTTTCAAAACTTTTCTTTTTATTGAACTTAAACAACTATTGTGAAATGTAACAACAGCAAAACAAAATAATTAATAATGATGTGACCATGTGCTCATAGATTAAAAAATGTTGGAAACGTATGACAAATAATATAAATTAAAACTATGTGCCAGTTGACATTTTATTTTATTTTATTTTCATTTGTCAATATGTTAATAGAAGACCCTAGTTTAAAAAACAGATTGGGTGCAATCCTTCCTGTTACTCTATTTTCAGTTAAAACTTGTAAACATTGACATAAAGGTGTCTGCTTTTAGGTTTTGAAAAGCCAATGGTGGAATAGGACCTCCTGAATAAAATAATCTATCAGATCATTATTAATCTGTATATTGAACTTCATTATTAGATATGATGAGACCACAATTACTTAACTCCAATGGTTCTTTATTTTTAAAGAAGCATTAGACTGTGAGTAATGAAATCAATAATCACGCCACTAACTGGAGATTATGCTGAAATTATTTCTTAATCTGTATTTGTTTTTTCTCTACAATAAAAGGCCTAAAATCAACGATTGGATCTTTGGGGGAAAGAAAAAAACAAAAAACATAATGATTCAATGTGGCTGGAATCAATGAGGAATCTTATTTTGAGGCTTTTTGTTTTTTTTTACAAATCTGCTTCTCAGTGTGGAAAGCTCCTGCTGGTTGCTCTGACCCTGAAAGGCTGAGCTGCCTCTTCAGTTTCTGATGAATGCACTCACTGTCTAAACTTAGTCTCCTCAGCCACACATCACGTCAGAAATGTGAAGCACCTGACACCGCCTTGTCTGGCCAGAGCTCCTGTCTCACTGGTTTGAGACAAAGCTTAGGGAGCCATAAAAAATACAGCACATACAGATAGTGCCAAACTAAATTTAAAGGAATTTACATGAGACAAAATTAGCTGAAAAGGGATTTTTAAATATGCAATACGTAATATATAAAACAGATATAGACAGCGGTCAAATAGGATAGATTTTTCCTTTTTTGCAGAGATGTTTCTAAAATATATTCATACCTCTAAATCATAAGGGATTATCAGCTCTACACATCTTTGGAATGGATGCATTCACTAGTTAGGATTTGACCTTGTGATTACGTTGCCACTTCATAAACCCATCATATCGTGACTATCACTTCTCCACCCACTGAAATATAAACTCTCACACAAGGTCTAGGCCTTGAAATCACACCTCTGAGGTGGAAAACTGACACTCAGCAAAACCTTGTAAGCTTGCTTTGCATTAGAGGTTAACTTAATCTCTTCATAATCTCTTCATAAGAACCATTATAATCTAGATAATGTATATTCGATACTGAAAACAAACATCCAGAGTTTTTATTTTGGAGGATCAAAAAACACAGGGTTGATATTCTCAGTACAAGACTTCTTTTTTAGATTTGCTTTATATATATATATATATATATATATATATATATATATATATATATATATATATATATATATATATATATATATATATATATATATATATATATATATATATATATATATAAAGCTGGGGTGGTGATAATGTGATTGTCATTCATGAATGTTTGATTTTCTGTTTGCTTGTGATGAAGTTGTACTAAAGCATAAATAGCATCTCTGTGCCAACTCTAAAATACCTCAACTTCCAGAGAGATGGAGGCGCTGTAGGGCTTTATTACAAATCATGTCAGCATGTATTTGAAAGGACAAACTGTACCTCAGTGACTTAAGATACTCTAAACCTTCTGTCTGAATAACCATCTTTACCTGAGGATTCAGAGGCTTGACTTATTAATAATATAATATACTCTCAATATCTAATCAATATAATACTGCATCATTCCAATTGTCTTACCTGTATGACAAATTAATAATGACATTGTTTGTCCAAACATTTCCCATTTAGAAATGCTGTCAAATGCTCCATCAGCATATATTGAAAAGGTTTCAGTTTGTCATAGATGCCAAGATGCCTTATTTAATGTGATTTTTCTGGAAATGTATCTTTACTCTGCTTTATGGATCCAGTTATATCTATAAATATCTCATGTAACTTTGCTTGGCCTGCATGGATCCCCCTCCATCTCCTGCTGATCAGTGAAATTTTTTTCCTCTTTAAAGCTCCATGTGTTCTGAGTAACTTCTCAGTGTACGCATGATTATAAAGGAGTGTCCTGATGCAACTTTTTCTATTTCTGATACGACACCGATATTGAAGGTTTGAGAATTGACCAATGGCAATATTGACCTAATACTATATGAGCATGAATCATACATGCTTTTATTAACCTATCTTGGACTTTATAATCTAATTAAAGGCTTGATAGAGTGCTATTATAATAGTCAACAATAATAGTTATGACAACAACTGACTGCTGAAATATTAACCATTGGGTTACAGCATCCTTTGAACAAAAGCCGGGTTTTTCTATCAGCATGATAATATTGGAGATTAAGATGCTTGCCGATATAATTTGTTATAATTTTTTTTCTAATATCAGACCAAAATCGTATATTAATATCGAATCAGGACACCCCTAATGATTATTATAATCTTGAAAAAAAGGGAAATCTCTTTGTGGCTCAATCCAAGCAGGGAATACAAACTGACCTGTTTCTGCAGATGAGCCATTATTCTCAACAACTTCATTATATTTAACATTTTTAATCTCTCAGTGTGAGGCATTGCTGAGGAGTCAATATATTCACCTCAAGCTCATCCAGGTGGAGCATGTCCTACAATTTAATGACGTGATGTGCACACTTCATTCTCTTTAAAAGAAAGTTTGAGATAAGGTGTTGTGAATTGGTACTATTTATATGAATAAACTGAATTGAATAGAATTATTGCTTCAACAGTAAAGTGTTTTAGGTTTGAATGTGAAAAAAAACCCACTTTGTTAAAAAAGCACAATTTTCAGCTTATGATTTGATGTAGTTCAGAAATCCGGGCCAGGTCAGGGAAACACATCAGAACAGGAAGGCTTAGAGGTCCAAGAGTCCGAAGCCTGGTCAGGGATACCGACCCAAATGAACAGGCTGGTTCAAGGTTCCAGGAGTCCAGAGACAGTTCAGGCAGAACGTTCAGAAGGGAACAGGGATGCTCAGTGATGAGAGGCAGATCAGGGTCAAGCAATTAGAAACACTACGGAACGCCAAAAACCCTCTCCACTGGCCCCCGAGAATGAGAACAAGAGCAATAATCTTTCCCCAATGGCTGGGTCTGAGCCATATAAATATCAGCGGGAGCAGGTGGATTAGATGAGCAGTAATGAACAACCAGGCAGAGAAAGACAGGAAAGGAGTGAGTAATTAGGCCAGCCATCAGTGCCAAGATCATGACACCAGCATGTCTTTAAGTTTCTGGATAATGTATTTAATACAGTATTTTCTGGACTATACACCGCCCCCTTTTTCCTATGCTTTGAACCACGAGGCTTAAAAGAAGGTGCAGCTTTTCTGTTGATTTTTCATAACCGTCAGACTACGTAAATCAAAGAACAAGGGGGTAATCCTCATTAAGCACAAACAAATGCTATCGGCAGGCATGACGGAGAACAAATGTTCCAAATTCAAACATTTTGACATTTATTTGCCCCATTAAAGCTGTCGAACCAATGAAGAGACTGTGTGTAACTCTCACAGAACTGAAATAAAGAGCTGGCAAAGCCCCAACAGGCTAACAGAATCTAGCATTCTTCTTTGCCCCTACTCTCTAGGGGTACGTAACGGTATGTAGAGCTCCCCCTGCAGGTTTTTGTGGGAGACACTTTAGTAGATATCAGCAGCTTATAGTCCGATGTGGCTTATACAGTACATTTCCATTTCTTTTTTCTTTTTTTTTTTTACTTAGTGGGTGCGGCTTTTAAGTGAAAGATGAAGGTACTCTAGATGTAACTGCACAATTCATATACACTTGTATATACTTTTAAGTTTGAAAAGTGACTTAAAACACATGATTAAAGTTAATTATGACTATGAGATGGTGCTGAAGATCAACCCACAATTCAGCAAGCTTGCTCAGAATTTAGTTAAAACCCATATCTAACAGACCCTTACCATTCTTCCAAATTAGTTGAAAAGTGGCAGAGGCACAAAAAAATAGAATGATTTAGATTTAGAATGATCATATGCCAGTCCTGATCTCAATCCCATAGCAAATATGAGGGTAGAATATAATGAGAAGCTTGTGAAGATAATATATAAACTGTTTAACCCAAGTGGTATACCTCAAAGACATTCTAATAAATAACAAAGACCTGTGTAAATCTCTGAAAAACATATTTTCCATCACTGTTGAGGTATTTAGCAAAAACGAATTATTTTGTTGATCCGTTTTAACTTACACAAG